TGAGAACTTAGTTTAGTACTCACATGCTGTGACAGCCGCTTTCTGTCCGTGTGCTTCAGATGTGTGCTCTCAGAAAACCGTATATCAGAAGTTTAAACTCATATGGTTTAAAACGCATGATTTCAGCACGATAAACATGATAATCAGAACCAAAACAGATGTTTTTAGCAGGTCCGAGCTGGAATGGCGCAGCTCTATTCTGGAAAAGAGGGCGGGGAGCAGCAGCTCATTTGCATTTAAAGAGACAGGCACGAAAAACAGCGTGTTTCTGCTTCCACTCAAAAAAAGGCATTTTCAAAATGATATAATAAATGATCTGTGGGGTATTTTGAGCTGAAACTTCACAGACACATTCTAGGGACACCAGAGACTTATATTACATATTGTAAAAAGGGGCATAATATGTCTCCTTTAATTAGTTTTTGCCCCATGGGTTTGGCATGATAAACCCTATCAGGATAATCTGTTGTTAAATGTCCGTTAAATCGTCTTCGTTTCCTAGAGAGACTTGAGCTCACTTTTAAGTCAACATGAAAGTGTATTCAAACCCCAATTTATATTTCCCTAAAGTCGCGATGTAACAGAATTAGCGACAACCGAATGAAAAGGAATATTTGTATGAAGACAAATATTTTTCTCTGGAATAATTTGCATCGATAAATCATGCGCAATAAGTTTGCGAATGTGTTTTATGAAAATAAATGTGGCCAATTTGTGATTATAATGTGTTCCCAGCAGATGCAGAAGAAGCGACTGAACGGCACGTTCCAGCGGTCTGACAGTCAGCAAACTGTGAAGTCTCCTCCATTACTAGTGGGCATAGAGGTTTTTGCTAATACAGAACACCTCTACTTTTGATATGGAAAGATGTACCATTGTTGATCTATGATATGCATGACTGTTTTTCAGGATTCCCCTGATCCCAGCCGTGAACAAGTAGTGAAACTCTCTGTGAGTTGTCAATGTTTTTCATTTCCTTATAATCAACTTACAATTGAAATATCCTGTTTTGTACCAGTGTTATTTTAATATTATTTACACACCATTATAGTATTTACTATTTTAAATTAGCTTTTATTCTCACATTTTTAGTGTTGGTTCTAATTGTAGTTAAGTTTAGCTTTATTTTTATTACAGTTTCAGTAATTTTAGTACTTTAATTTAAAATTACTTTACATCCAAGGCACCTTTTTTTTTTTTTTTTTCCCCATCTAATATTTATATTTTATTTTATTTCCGCTTTATTTCAATTAGTTTTAGTTAACAGTAACAACTTTTTTATGCTGTTCTGTTTATTTTTTATTTCCACAGACCAAGCTGTCTTCTGTCTCCCTGAGAGGACTTAGTTCTTCCAACTCAGCCAGTGACATCAGTGGCAATGAATTCCATGGAAACTACGCCTTTGAAGGAATAGGGGACGATGACCTGTGATGGAGCCGTCTTCAAAAACTGGACTAAAGGAGGCAGATTTGTTTAGCGGTTTCTCTGCGCTGAGTGTAGTTTACTAGATGCCCAGTTCTGCAGTATCGTAATTCCTTTCTGAAAAAGTCACATCAAGGGTCTCAAAATTAGCCTGTCGTACATAATTTTGACTCAAGTCTCTCATTAGTGTTATGAGAGGCCTCAGAGTCAATGCTCGCTCATTTAAAGTAACAAAAATAGGATAATTTCAGATTTGAGGCATAATTGGAGACAATTTCAATGGTTAAATTAATAGAGGGTTACATAGGCACCTCAGGGCAAGTTACTACATTCAAGAGAGATGTTAATTTAGTCTGTGATGAAAGTTTCTTCTGAAGACGGACTTTATTTGAATCGTACTTCCTTACTAGAGACACAAAACTGTGCTTTTCCTCTCATATGTCATCATCTGGCAGGCACCAAATTCCTGTTATCTCATTTTCTCTTGGCTGCTCATGACTGTAGTTGCCTACTAGAGTAAGATCCATACCAGCAAATTATGTTCCTTTTAAAATCAGTTGAGAATATTATTTAATAGATATGTGCTTTGTATTGTCCAGTGTGCCAATGTTGCTTAACCTTTTGCTGCATGGTAGCGACAATATGACCAATGGGCGTGGTAGATCTCTTCAGCTTGCTGTTTTCTTCAGGAGAGGTAAACTCGACCTGACACCTACTGCATATTCATTGCATATCCTAGATGAAAATACAATTTCAGAATTTAAATTACCCTCTTTATTGTGGCCTGCTTTCTCTCTGCCTTATGCTGATTCAGACGCCTTACAGTTTAACTTCTCAAATTTAAATGTAGCGCCGGGCACAAGTTTGGTAAAAAGCTTCTCTCATTCTGGCCTCAGCTGTGTCTTGAAATCTCGCTTCGTTTTGGGGTGTTCGGCAGGCCTGCTTGCACTAGCTGAACTCATGTCTTTTTTGCACAGTATTAAGAAAGGTAGATGGCTTAGGTATTTATTGAGATATTAACTGTGGGAAAACATCCTGGAACATTCGCAAGAGGTTTGTAGGTCTGTGTTTGTTGTTTGTGTTCTATTATTCAAACCAATATATTAAAAATGTTTCTCGTAAATGCCAAAATTATAGTTCACTAAAGCATTTTGCACAAAAATCATGGTAATGTCACTTTTATAAATGTACATGCAATTAAAAAAGTATTCTGAATATTTACTAATATCTGTATTATCTTAGTATAGTACAAACAATTACAGCTGATCAAATATAATCCAGGCTGTGTAAAAAAAAAAATAATAATAAAAGATTAGAAACTAACATTTATCAGTGTTTACAAAATTGTAGAAAATTGTTGAAAAACAAGTGTTTACAAATTTCACATCTAAATTTCAGTGATTGTCTTAGTACACTTTATATATTTTGTTTTGAAGAATATCATTCCAGTCTTTCATTTCTCTTTTTATTATATACATATAATCCATTTTGTGTTTTGCTAAATACATTGTGGCAATCGTCTCAGAGGACTGCGATCACATGGTGCTTGGGAAATGGCTGTATTTCACATTTATGCTGGGATTTAAACTGCAATGATAGTCATACTGAATGATATTCCCATATTCGTCATCCCTGATATATATATATATATATATATATATATGATTCCTCCCATATGCAAATTATGTTTAATGCAAAGGTTGTTCTCATGTCTTTGTGCTTTATGGCTGATTATTATTTTTGAGTTGATGACTGTAATTTGTGATTGCCATGTTAAGTATGTTCACCAGCATCATCTAGAATGAAAAGGGTAAACCGTCTGGACTCTTAAACCCTGTACATCTCTCATAAATCAGTATGATTTTTCAAATTCTCACTTCATTTTAAATCCAAGAATGGAAGTTAGAGCCTTCTGGGTTTCAATAAATTTAGGTGCCAAACAATGCTACTCCGTGTTGTTTTGTGTTTTTTGGTTTAATAACACAAGCATGATAGGTATTTCAGCATGTGTGATTATCATATATGGGGACTGTCTGTAGACACAATTACTCCTATGCAAGTAACCGACTCAGTAAACCTACCACTAAAGGTCCTGGCTAAAAAACACCATTAGCATGAAATGTAGCTTTTTGACTTCCTACAATTTGAATCATCATGCAAAGATCAGATTGTCAAGTTTCTTTTTAATGTAAGCTTTTGCCTCAAAACTGGCTCTGACACTTCATAACAAATGATCTAAAATTCATTTTCACAATCTAACAGCATGAAGATCACTGCAAGAGTTGTTAGTGCTCTGGTGAAGCCCGGGGCTCTGTCTTCATTAGCATGTTTACCGGAGCTGTTCGCAGCAGAGAGCGGGGAGGATTACAGCTCTCATTATGGAAGTGTGAGGATTACACACTGCCTGTCTCAGCATCTTAATCATATCCTGCTGGTCTATGAGTAACTTACTTCTGAGCAGTTTTGTGACTGAAAGATGGCAAAGGAATTGAGACAAGGAAGTTTCAACACAAACTTTTATTTGAGGATATTTAAGGCATTAATGAAACCACTGCATAATAACAAGAAAACACTCAAGCATCAATGTTCAGACGTTTTTGGCAACCTGAAGGTTTAACTGCATATTAGGGTTTACGGTTACTGTTGTCTTTCAGTATAGCTAATGATGCCATGGGTGGCAAATACATGCCAAACATTCCTCGGAGATAAAAAATAAATTCACATACAAAAATAAAAGCTCTATGTTCAGCATGACACGAATACCCACTATGCACCATTTTTGCTTCAAGTAAACTCAGACAAATGGCATTTTTCACATTCAAGAAGATACACACAATAAAAGGCAACACAACCCCCCAAAACTATTGAGAGCAAAAACAAGATGATTAAAGATCACAACATAATGCTCATTCGTGAAGACATTTTCATCAGTAGGCTTGAGAAGATGTTTGACGGACAAATGATCAATCACATAAAACCTCAAAAAAGCCAACCAAGGTAAACTTAAGTGCATGCAATGTAGCTCCAGGCTTAAAGAAGTACTTCCTATGGCAGTGGTGCAGTAGTGTCTGTTTGGCACTGATAAATGAACCACAATCAGGCTCAGAATGCTCTTAGAGAGCTTTGGGAAACACAAACTGCCTTGTTCAAAGGCATTAATCAGGAGTGTCCAAACCTGCTCCAGGAGGACCACCTTCCTGCAGAGTTTAGCGCCAACCATCTCTCACAAACCTGGCAGGAAGTTTCAAGTAATCCTAAAGTTCTTGATTAGACGTTTCAGGTGTGTTTATTTAGAGTCTGAAGGAAGGTCGGCCCTTCAGGAGCAAGACTGGACAAACCGTGCATTAGGACATTCAGGTTACTGTCTTTTAATTTGTGCATGACTTCATGTAGCAGCTTGAGGATAATTCCAAGTGTCTAAAATAATGACTTTCAAAATAACTCTTGGCACAAATAAAAAGAACAACCAACAAAACTTATGCTGTAACAGTAAAATCTCATATGGACGACGGTCTTGCAATAAGAGGCTACACCTCTTCCTCTTCCTCGTCCTCCAACTCTTCCTCATTTCAAACTGCCTTGTTCAAAGGCATTAATCAGGAGTGTCCAAACCTGCTCCAGGAGGACCACCTTCCTGCAGAGTTTAGCGCCAACCATCTCTCACAAACCTGGCAGGAAGTTTCAAGTAATCCTAAAGTTCTTGATTAGACGTTTCAGGTGTGTTTATTTAGAGTCTGAAGGAAGGTCGGCCCTTCAGGAGCAAGACTGGACAAACCGTGCATTAGGACATTCAGGTTACTGTCTTTTAATTTGTGCATGACTTCATGTAGCAGCTTGAGGATAATTCCAAGTGTCTAAAATAATGACTTTCAAAATAACTCTTGGCACAAATAAAAAGAAGAACAACCAACAAAACTTATGCTGTAACAGTAAAATCTCATATGGACAACGGTCTTGCAATAAGAGGCTACACCTCTTCCTCTTCCTCGTCCTCCAACTCTTCCTCATTTCCTGGCATCTGCACTTCAACCCAGCCACCTGTAGTCAGGCTGTGCTTCTTCTGATGTCGTTTGTAGTTGTCCCAGTGGCCAGTGGTGTAGCCACACTCTTGGCACTTATGGGGCTTCTCGCCCGTGTGGCGCAACATGTGCCGCTTCAGGTTCATACTCTGGTTGCAGCTGTAGTTGCAGATGGCGCACTGAAAGGGTTTGGCACCTGAATGCACCCGCTGGTGCCTCTTGAGATTAGCCAGGTTGCCGCAAGCATAGTCACACAGGTGGCACTTGTAGGGTTTCTCGCCGGTGTGTACTCGATGGTGCCGCTTGAGGTTGTCGAAGTGGGCGGAGGCGTAGTCGCACTGTGGGCACTTGTATGGCTTCTCTCCACTGTGGGTCTTCATGTGGCGGGCCAGGTGGTTCGGGTAGTGGGTGAGGAAGGGGCAGGCAGCACAGGTGTAGACTTTGTCCCCTCGCTCAGCGGGGCATCCGGGTGTGTCCTTAGTTAGCATTTCCAGGGTGCACTTTGCACATATCTGGGCCGAGGATCCATCCTCGTCATCCAGGGCCATGCTGCACAGCCGACAAGTGAAGGGGAAGAACATGGGGGGTAGAGTGGCAGGTTCAGAAGCAGCCTGTCCTGACTGCAACACCCCTGCCGATGACTGCTGTGGAAGCCTCAGGCCATCAAGGGTGTGCAAGTAGTTCCCATCCCTTCCCACGTGGGGTCGCGAGGCAGACTGCACAGCACCTGCAACTGAAGGATTCTGAATTACAACTCTTTGTAAAACTCTCTTTTCGACATTCTTTCAGGGCACAAAGCAGAACCTTACTTACCTTCAGAGGGGGCAGGAGACGCTTTCTTTTCCTTCTGACTCGCGCTGGTGTGATTTAAACCATTGCCACTTACTGGCTGAGGGGCACTCTGACCCGGGCTTACAGCTGCATGCATGCGCTGGTGCCTCTTCAGGTTCCCTAAGGAACTGCATGCAAACGTGCAGTGGTTGCACTTATAGGGCTTTTCCCCAGTGTGTATGCGCAAGTGCCTTTGCAGGTTCACTAGTTGTGCCGATGCATAGGAGCACAGCGGACACCCGTACGGCTTTTCGCCATTGTGTGTCTTCATGTGTCTCGTAATGTGGTTGGTGTAGCGTGACGAGAAACCACAGAGCGTGCATGAGTGGAGCTTCAGGGAACCATCCTCGCCAGCATCGCCCTCATTCCCTACCCCTCTAGACTCCGCTTGTAAGCCTAAGCCCGAGCAGAGCTTCCTGTCTGAAACGCCATCCACATTCCCTTTGCAGCAGTGCATGCAGAAGGGCCCCACTAAGTCCATGCCTCCCTTAGATTAAATCCTGATCTAATCATGACAAACTTTATATCGTTGGAAAGGTCTAAGACTCCTAAATATATATTTTACCAGTTTTTTGTTAAAAATTATGTAGGAAAAGTAATAGATTAATTTTTGACAAGAGTGCACCTCAAAAATCTACATCATAACAGGAGTTCTGACCTTTGTCACAAAAAGTCTTCTTCGTTGCCTTTTTCTCTATCACACTTTAGAAATCATCAGAAATTATATATCAATTGAAAACTTAAAATCTCAAAATTCATCCTTTGAAAACCATTTTAAAATCAGACATTGCATTACCATGAAAATGGTACATCAAAATCATGTTACAAAATGTTTTCATTCATGAATTATAAAAATTTAAGTTTGGATAGCGCACTTTCACGTCTATGTTCAAAAATGTGAGTGACAGTTAAGGGGTTAATATCTTACTATTACAAGTTACTAAAGACAAAAGCACACACAAAAAAGGTAAACCTCTTATGCAAGATTGCATGCATCTATAATTTTAAAAAAAAAACAATGAGAGTACAAATTTTGCACAAAATCTCAACAGCTGAAGTTATAGGAAAAACATTTGGCATTTATACTTACCCACTAAGCCAGTGGACAAACGTTAAGTAAATTCTGATAGCAACAAATAAAAGGTGGTACTCCAACAAAACACAATTCTACAGTGTTTCTGCTCACTGTCTTTCCATGAAACGTCGTTTTCCTTCTGCAAGCTCCTGATGCACATGCAATGTGTAGAAATGTGTGAGTCTGAAGTCTGAACGGGCCTTTATATTGCCCATTTCAGAAACCCCAGGTAGATGATTACCCAGCCTAATGATAATGATGATGACTATAATGGTCCTGCTGATGATGATGATGATGAGGAGGGGGGGATGATGATGACAACTATGACAAAGACCCTGAGAGGAGATGATGATGATGACTAAATGCCTTATTATAATGTGTCCTTGATGGTGATGACTGTCTTGATGACCTTTATATAATAGTGGTGGCACACTGTATTTTTTCCTGATTTGCCATTTTGAAATGGTATGTTCTGTCAGAATGCCAAAACTAGAGAAATTTTCCAGAACGGTAGGCTCACTTCTCCCATCTGTACATGAAAGATCACACTGCTTGCTGACAGACAAAATGCAGCACGTTTGCATAATAGCACTAATATTACAAGTCAGTCTTCGAAGTTAATGTCCCATATTGAGCACATATAGCCCCTCACGAATGCCAGCAATACAGCAAACTAAAGCATATGTTTAAAATCCTCAAGATTTAGCAGTAGCCATCATATAAAAGTTACTGTCAAGTAAGTAAATTCCTCAGTATTTCTGGATTTTCCATGAGTCTAAACCAGGGGTGTCAAACTCAGTTCCTGGAGGGCCGGAGCCCTGCAGAGTTTTGTTCCAACCCTGCTCCAACACACATACCATGTAGTTTTCAAATAAGCCTTAAGGACTTAATTAGTTGTATCAGGTGTGTTTAATTAGGGTTGAATCTGAACTTTGCAGTGCTCCGGCCCTCCAGGAATTGAGTTTGACACCCCTGGTCTAAACCCTTTAATATTCCCTACCAAAGTTAGGCTTAGAAACAAACGTAACTCACCTGAGAACTTTTCAAGGCCTATGATCTTGCTGTCATTATCAGGATCTGAAAACTCGAGTTCTTGTCCCAGGAGAAAGTCGCTCTCAAAGGTAAGGCTTGCTGGACGCACAGTGCCTAAACCATCTTCAGAATCCACTGAAAGCAAAGGGTCATAGTCAAATACAGCAGCAATGGCATTCAAAAACAACTATATAGATATAGATGATATATATAGATAAAAGGATGTAAAAATGTGTACTAAACCCATGTGAAACCCCTACAGCAGCTGTAAGCTTTTTTTTTATACAAACAATAAGACTTACAGTAAATTGCACACCATCTTGTGGGATTATGTTCATTTGTAACAATTAACAATTGGACTAATCACTAATTAAAATAAATATAACTCTCAAAACAATCATAGAATTGTGCCATGTGGAATTTTTGAATAATAATAATTATGATTCTGATCTATTTTATCTGTAATTTCCACCAAGTCACAATTTATGTATCAGGAAGGGATATTTTTTAAAACACTCTGAATAAAACACCTGATTCCAGTTAAATAATATTTTGCTCTCAAAGGTAAGGCTTGCTGGACGCACAGTGCCTAAACCATCTTCAGAATCCACTGAAAGCAAAGGGTCATAGTCAAATACAGCAGCAATGGCATTCAAAAACAACTATATAGATATAGATGATATATATAGATAAAAGGATGTAAAAATGTGTACTAAACCCATGTGAAACCCCTACAGCAGCTGTAAGCTTTTTTTTTATACAAACAATAAGACTTACAGTAAATTGCACACCATCTTGTGGGATTATGTTCATTTGTAACAATTAACAATTGGACTAATCACTAATTAAAATAAATATAACTCTCAAAACAATCATAGAATTGTGCCATGTGGAATTTTTGAATAATAATAATTATGATTCTGATCTATTTTATCTGTAATTTCCACCAAGTCACAATTTATGTATCACGAAGGGATATTTTTTAAAACACTTTCTGAATAAAACACCTGATTCCAGTTAAATAATATTTTCACACAGTATTTTACATATGACAAAATTACAGCTTGACTGGAAATACAATAATGTTGACATAAAATAATGTAATTTGTGTCGATTTTTTTTCTTCACACATTACACACGTCCTATATTTCATCTCAACTATTTTATAATTTATCTTTCATCTTTACGAGTGGCAAAATTGCTAGTCACGGTAGAAATTACACCACAACTGTGAGTTTTAATTTTCATAACTTAAAAATATAATATTTTTATGATGGATTTTCATATTTTAAGATTTACAAGGGTAAAAAAAAAAAAAAACAGCTTTATACATATCTGAAAATAAACTGTAAAAATAATCAAAGAAGGCAATGTAAATGTTTTTCCAAGACAGTTTTAATGTGATTTTCATATAACAAAAAAGGAAAAATAAGTTAAAGAAATAGCAAATCTAGCAGCATCGACTTGGCCAGTAACAGGCTCTGGCTTTACTGTAATTTTACTGCCATCTGCTGGACGAGACTGAAAATAATCACAACTTTTTAAAAAGAAAGCAGAAACAATGACACAACCAATACTTTTGAAGCAGGCTATGTTTACAGCACGTAAAATATTATTCATTCAGTTACCATGACAGTTATTTACCACATTCAACTGAAAATCTTAAAATTGCTGAATATTAAAATGAATTACCAGCAAAATTCAGCTTTTCTTCGTAATCACAAACACAGAAATAACTCCTACTTTTGTTAGTCACATTACAACTTTTTAAATAAAGGACACTGGATACACAGCATATAAAATCATCAGAAGAATCTACCAGTCAGCTTGTTTGACACCTGAAATCACAATTCAAAATCAAGTCAACAGACTGCAGTACAATTATTATGTTTCTGTCCATACAAATTGATTACTCTAATAGCTAATAGCTGGGACACACCACACAGTCGGTGTGTCCCTGCTATTTCTGTAACAGAAGAGTCTGTTAAATGACAGCTAATATTCAGTTAAGTGTAAGTGGTTCAAATCCAAGAGCACATGACAGTTTTAATATAAAACAAGACCACATGACCAGTTTCCATGATTTTTCTCTGAATTAGTAAACATCAACAAAAACTAAACGCAAGTGAGAGGAATGAAGACAATTCAAATCATTTAAATGACGATATTAAATGAAAAAGCAGCTTACACTTGACTGGTTGTGGATTCTGTTGTTTTCTTCTTGGCATCTTCCAGTTAGCCTTTTTATTTGCAACCTCCTCTGGATTCCCTCGAAAACAATCAACTCATTCTCCAAAGTATCCTTTAAAAGCACTGAAATAACACACATTACTGACATACACGTTAGCACAACCCGTTTAACAGATACATGGCGCATCTGGGAGCTAACGTGCTAATCTTACGGTGGCATATAAGATAAATAAGACTTGCGTCATTTACAGTAAACTAAATAAAAGATATAACGTTATTAATCTCGTAGTGCGACAGAATGCATGTCTGTGTTCGTGTAACGTTAGTACACGTACTGAACTGCACGGCCGCCCAGCCTGTGTGTTTATTCAGTCGATATGTAGCACACAAATCTAAGCACTCAACTCTAGCTATATTGTCAAGCTCAGCAGATGTCACAAATATACCTGCTCTTTCTGCCTGACACGTCAAATAACGGTTCCCGTCGAGGCAAAACAGCGGCGTCTGACGGGGCGCTACTGCTCACAGTCCGCCATTCCATAACACATCGACCACAAAGAAAGGCAATTAATGCTCTTTTTTTCATAACTTAATTGATTTCCAAATTGCCATTGTATACATTTTCTTCCGCTACGTTGCGTATATCCGTTTCCTCACTTACGCATTTCCGGGGACGTTGTTGCTCTATTTTTACATTTCTCTTTTTATGGAATGTTATCCGATATTAAAGCTAAAATAAAGGAACATCTACAGTTAGATTTATGGGGATTTCAATTCATTTTGTACCGCATTTGATTTATTTTTGTGGGCGCAATAACTATGAATAATTCTTGCTTATACTATGACAACATTATAGGCTATTATATTATATTATATTAGGCTATATTATATTATATTTTATATTATATTATACAGCAACAATCAATATTGTAATATTTTCTTTCTATACTATTCGTGCCGTTGCAAATGTCTATTATACAGTCCGTAATACAAAGCCGTCGTCCAAATTATTATTAATGTTATTAATGTTAATTATACTTAGGCTATAGTGTAATAATATAGTACCATTACATGAAAATTTGCTATTATTGGTGCTCAAGTCTCAGAATGACAATTTTATTTATTTGCACATTAATATTTTGCTAAATTACTACACAGACATAACAACTATATATATATATATATATATATGTATGTGTATATGTAATGTGATAAACAAGTTAGGTCAAAAGTAATCTAAGTAATCAAAAAGTAGTCTGTTTACCTTAAATGTGTAATGTAATGGATTACGTTAGGCTACTAACTACAATGTTTGTCATGTAATTTGGAATCAGTAACATAGGCCTATATAATTAGGCAATACTTAGGTTATATGTATAGCCTATATAAATATTCGAGTAAACCAGTAAAGAGATAGAAAAAAAAACGAAATAGAAAAATAAATTTAAATAATATAGGTATGTGAATGAATAATAAAAATAAAATAAAATTCTTAAACGAAGTAAAAGGTTAAGCCTTTTGCTGTTGTTTTCAGAAGCAGAAATCGTTGTCAGGCCACGGATTCAGATCACTGCAGTCTCCCGAAGGACATTACAACCTCTCAAGCAGCAGGCGCCGCCGGTGTGCAGAGGAGGGAACCTCGAGGTTCAAGGGGATCTCCTCGCCAACGTCATGCGGCGAATCTCGGACCACAGAGTCCAGAAAAACGCTCAAAGACACGCAAATAGGCGACGTTTTACAGCAGTGGGAGGAGCCGCGAGAGCTTGCGCGTCCTCAGCCGCTCAGTGGGAGGAGCCAACCGATGGTGCTGAGCTGATAACGCACTGAGCGGAGGTAAGAGGCTGATTTCCTGAAATTATTGTGCGTTATCTTTTAGTCAGAGGATGTTTTTCTCTTCTTGCGTTTGAGTATTATAAGCTGCATTTAAGCATAAAAGTATATTATTTGGCAGAGAGGAACGGCTACGTAATAACCTTGCCACTCCCTGCAGTGCTGTGATGCCCTGGTCAGACCTTCTGATTAATTATTACAAATTATGTTCGTAGACAAAGAATTTTAGTGTATATATTTTAGTATACATATTTCAGCACAACCGAGATGTCGTCTGAAGTGCGTGTGATTCTGTACGTAAATACATGGAATATAAAGGTCCGTACTGTATCATTAAAGTAACAGTTGGTGTAAATGTCGGATCACTGATGCGCTCGTGGCCCAAATGTGGAGGGGTGTGTCCTCATATAACGCCCTTTAAACGGCATTGCCACGAATCCACGATGCTTTGACAAGTTGTTAGTCAGGGTATTAATGGGATCCCCTTCTTCTTAAAAAGAGCCTGATATATTGAAAACACAGCCATGGTCGCATTGCATAGGCCTTTGATATTTTTGGTTTGCCAAATTGTTGCCCTACTTTGCGTAATGTGGTCAAACAAGAAAACTGTTGAGTGCATGTCCAGGAATAGTCCTGGGAACTGAGAGAAAGAGAAAACACCGAAGCCAGTCCAAAGATCTCAGCCACAGGATTTTGTTCTATGGCCAGAGAAGCTATAAAACACATTTGAGCTTTGTCTTATCATTGAGGCACTCTGCAATATGCATGATAAAAAGTATTTCTTTTCCATGCATGCAAGAGACTCTTAACAAGTCGTGCATCCTCTAATAGTTTTAATGTATCATGTAATGCATTAAAAGCAAGCTTTGTACTCCATAATAATTGTATACCACTTTCTTTATGGTTAAAGCTTGGTCCAGTGCATTTTAAAGCCCTGCTTGTCGGTGTGTTGAATGACCTTGATATTATATGTCTCTCTTCTTTATTGGTTTCTGTTCTGTTGAGTAATGGGGCAGTCAAAGGCAAGACACAAACCCTCACTTTAATTACGTAATGCTGCCAGAGGGGGCTGATGCTGCTTATCTGAGATCAAAATATTGATCTTTAGAAGATCTTGATATTTTTTTTTGGGCCCAGGGATTTAATATGTATTTCTCTAGAAGCAAATTTCTCTCGAGATTGTTTTTTAGCAAGGTTAAGTGTAAGAAATGCAGTTGTTTCCACAAAGAATAAGTCACTGATTTTCTCTAATGACCATTTTATTTCTAATGACCATAACACCTAAAGTACTAAGCTTAATAGGCAATACCATTTAATGTAAAATTTATTCAGATTTAATGTGAGACTTGTCAGATTGTTTTCCTCTTTGTGAAGCACGTGATTGATCCTCATGATTATACGCTTTCTCTTGTTAATTTTATTTTTGCAGCATTAACAGTTTTGTATTCTTCAAGTATTCTTATATAGCAAAAGAACTGAACAACTTGTTAAATGCAGTGTTATTTTAGTATAATTTATATAAGATTAGTATTAGTATTTAGTATTAGTATTTAGGTAGTATTTATATTTCATATTTTGAAAGTTTTTTTTTAAAATATATTTTCGGTTTACAGTAGTTTAAATGGTAGTAATTTTGTTTTGTGCTTTTGTCATTTTTATTAGTTCTTAGTATTTAGCTTTAGCTTATTTTTTAGTATTTAGCTTTATTTTTTATTTCAGTGTAAGTTTTATTAATTTTAATATTTTATTCTAATATTTAGAAAGTTTTTCATCTGATATTTATATTATTTCAGCTTCATTTCATCATAGTTTTAGTGTTAGTTAACAATAACAGCACTGGTCAAATGAGATCAGATTTTGAAGCTAGATATGTCTGTTCAATATTTAAATGCTTGAGCATGATGTTCCTCTGTAATGATGTTAGTTGATGCTGTGTCTCACTGTCCATCTTCATATCTGCTTCTCCACAAGAGTGTTTCTTTTGGAAGAGAGTAGCATTACAATTGAAAATAAAAACCCCACCCCCCACACTGGAGCCTCTGAATCCCTCCATAGGGAAAAAAGTCAGTCTGGACTATATATTGTCTGTCTGGCATCTCCTTTTCCATTACATGCTGACTGTTGAAATGAGTGTAATAGTGTGTGGTCCAGTTGGGAGATTAATTTCACATGATCATGTATCAAGATAAAATGGAGCTTAGACTTCTTCATTCCATGAGCTACGTTACTCCATAGCACACAATAACTCCCTCTCAGTCATGCACTATGCAGGTGTCTTTTCGAGTGCATGGGTGGAATACAGTAGTTTACAAGCCAGGAGATAATCGGGGTCTTTGGAAACATCTGTTTGTAGCTTATTAATCAGTCACACCTGGCTTGGAGATGAGAGACAAGATAGAAATAGTTTATAAGGCTGATGGTTTTGTAAATTGTTTGCCGGTTCAATGACATGATGCTCAATATTTTTTTTGTCCAGATCTATTAATTAATTCATAAAAATGCAATACAGCCACTTCTTCTGTGATAAACGTATTTAGGATGTAGACTAGTTCAGGTTGTAAAATGTCAAATGGTGCGATTCCTCAAAAATGTATAATACTTCTGAATTAATAATTGATGATATTGGTAAAAAATCTTTTTTATCTTGAGAAATATATTTTAAAACTTTAATAACATGGCCTTTTGTGTGTTCACAATATAGGATTTTTTGAAAGAAATGTATTTTTATTTAGCAAGGAACATTAAAATTGATAAAAAGTGACAGAACATTACACAACATTTCTATTTGTAATTTTGGAACTTTCTATACATCAAAGAATGCTGAAAAATGCATCACAGTTTCCACAAAAATATTAAGCAGCACAACTGTTTTCAACATTGATGATAATAAATGTTTCTTGAGCAGCAAATCAGCATATTAGAATGATTTCTGAAGGATCATGTGACACTGAAGACTGGAGTAATGATGCTGAAAATTTAGGGATACATTTTAAAAAATATTAAAACAGAGTTTTTTGTAAATTGTATTAATATTTCACAGTATAACTGTTGAGCATAAGAAACTTATTTCAAAAACATTACAAAAATCTTACTGACCCCAAAGCTTTAAATGGATGTGCACTGAGAGATGTTTTCTGCAACAGTCTTAACTTTTGCATCTCCTAATTCTGTTCATGTTGTTCTTTTCAGGGATGAGCATTTGATGAACAGAAAACATTTCATGTGAGAAGAAAACAATGATGACCTTCAGGGAACTCTTTTGTGGCCGATTTTCGTACTTCCTCACAATGTTCTCTTTGCCAATGTTGAGTGTCAGACCATAAACAACAAACAAAGACACACAAACAAAAGGGGCCCGATCCTCTCATGCTGTTTTAGCTGGGCTGTCCAGCTCTGTACAATGAAGAGACCCAAGCAGCAGTCACAGTCCCTCAGTTTTCTCAGCTTCTTCAGCCGAAAATCCAAATCTGACCCCAGGATTGAGAAGCCCAACGGGACTTTAAACAAGGAGGAAGTGGCCATCACTCTCACGCCCAATGAGCATGAGCATGTGGAACAAGTAAGACGACATCTACACTTATTCTATAACCAGAACATATGTTTCAGTGTAATCTCTGTATTCTGTAAGCAGTTGCTGTAATGCTTCATTTCACCTGGTAGACACGTTATCATCTTCCTTTCAGAAGCATCATGCCCATTTAATCATGTCCCCTCAGATTGTTGAGCCAAGTGGATTTCGAATGCAAATTCCAAAATAAATCAAATAAAATAATTAAGTATATTGCATAAAAATCTCATGTCTAAAATTTGGTCCGTCCAATCAAGTCGCACATTCATTCACTTTAAACTGTCATCATCTGTTAAACTCATGTGACTTTTTCTTCATGGAACACAAAAGAAAATGTTTATCATAATACGCAAGCTGCTCATTTCCATACAATTAAAATAAATATACCCATATTGGAATTTTCGACCGCCATATGGACCACTTCCTTTGGGGCACCACAATGTTCAAAATTACTGGGAAAAATGTTATCCATGACGTTCATTTCCTTTCCCCCAAACCATTTTATCTCATTTGTTTTACTTTGTCTCATTTGTCCTGTTGCCAAGAAACAGAGTGGTTGGACTGTGTCAAAAATGAATGAAATTTATGTTAAATAAGGCAGCTGTGTTTGCCAGAACTTCACCGTAAAAAAAAATATGGTAGCATCATTTTAGGTTTTACAGATTTAAATTTGTTTTATTAACTGATTTAATGTTAATATACCAACCTATTGAAGTACTAATATCTGTTTTGTACCGTTGTACTGAGAACCACCAAACATACAGAGATATAATGTATAGGTGTATACAGAAAGTGCACAGTGTCATACACACAAATACAAAACACCATCATGGTAACAGACATGACACTAAAATAATGCAATGAACATGAATTTAACAACATAAGATGAAACGTAAAACCCTAAAATGTTAGTGCTGTCACACAGGGAATTCTGACAATTTACTTTTTTTTTTTTCTTTTTTTTTTACTGTAAATTATAAGAATTTTTACTATATACTGTATATAGTAAGGGAATTTACCATTAACCAATTAACAGGTTTTTACCGGAGCAGTCTTTTACCATTAAAATGACAATAATTTTTACAGTGTAGCTTATCTTCATTAGACTGATAAAAAGTCATAACTTTCATTACTGCCCTCAGTCATTTTGTCTTTCCTCTCAGGACCGGGCTCACAGTGGTGTTGGATTAGAGGGCGGTAGGAATGGAGGAGATCCTGGCAAAGGGGAAGGAGGTGGAGTGGGAGATGATGAGGGATGTGCGGAGTGTGGGAGCAGTGGCTCAATGGGTGTACTGTCCTTGTCCTCCTCCAGTCAGGAGCAGCTGCTGGAGCACCTGGTCGAGTGCCCGCTCTGTCTCCTGAGTCAACCACGAGGCCACTTCCCTCGCTTGTCCTCCTGCCAGCATCGTGCATGCACAGACTGTTTGCGCCAATACCTACGCATCGAGATCTCAGAGAGCCGCATGGGTATCGCCTGCCCGCAGTGCCCTGAAGTTCTGGCTCTGCCCGATGTCCGTGCCATTCTGGATGACGGTGCACTGCTGGAGCGCTTCGAAGAGTTCCAGCTGCGACGCTTTCTGGCTGCTGACCCGGACACGCGCTGGTGCCCGGCACCAGATTGCAGGTTAGCACATAAATGTGACTGATGAAGCACAGCCACCACTGTACCATTGGTGCCATTGTAGAGGGATATTTTTACACTCAACATATTATGTTACTGTGCAAATACATCTTAATTTCATACAATTGAGCATGTCACAATAATTTCTGGCATTTCCATACAAAGTTTTAGATTTATTTTTTTTTGCTCCATTTTTTAAATCTGTAATTTAAAGTACACATGAAATCAAAATTGACTATATTTATTTTGTTAGCGCACACTGCTATTTTTGTGGTGAACAATTCATCTGTGCAAGTCAATCCATTAAAAAAATTGTTTGCCTTCGTAATCTTTAATCCAAATCTGAAAATGCACCTCCCCTCTGAAATGACGGACCTTCTCTGATGACGTCAGTTTGACGTTTGGGCTTGAGCATAACATCCTTAAAGGTGCAATAGGAGATCTTGGAAAATGCTAACTTTAGCCTGATAGCACTGAAAGCGAACGTCCCACCCTCCCTGCAATCGCCGTCCAAAGCCACGCCCCCGAACGCATTTACACTCACAGACCAGAGACAACATTACTACAATAGGCTACATCAGGTTCCCAATTCCAGCCCATGTTCCGAAGTGAAGTAAACTTCAACGGATTTCCCTGTTCAGGGAGTAGGGAGCAATGAATTCTGTGTAGGGATCATATCGATCGGAACACAGTTCATGCATGTAGCTCACTTCTAACGAGCTGGCGCACGAGGACTGGATTAACCGCTGGGCTACATCATGTGTCATTCACCGGTGAGAAATCTTTAAAAGTACTACAATACCAGGAAGGAAGATCGGGTTGTTGATGTTTGTCTGCCATTCTCGCTCTGTCTGCACAGCGTGCGTGAATGCGCTGATGACGTATCCTGTCTGCGCGAACTGGGTGTGCAGAGGTATGCTAATACATACGTTGAGAGGCAGGTAGGAAAGCATATTAAAATGCTCGGACCGAGCGTTTTGATTGGACGAACATTTCTTGATCCTACACCTTCCACAGAATATATAAATACAGACAAATACATTTAGACCACTTAACTTAATGATTGCTATCGGGATGTGAAGAGACTTTCAACCAGCATAACAAAAAATGTTTCTGAAGACAATCACCTATTGCTCCTTTAAACACGCCCCTCCAGTGTTGTTCCGAATGAAACGCCTACTTTACTACATCCAATCAGTTTGTAGTAGAAAAACAAGCCACGCCCTCTTTCCTTTTTCTCATTCAATATTCCATCACAATACGGAAGTAAAGTCGATCTTAACTTCCAGCTCATGTGGACTTTAAATTTAAAGTGGTAAAAAAAAGTGCAAAGAATTTATCATGGCAGTTTTTAACTTTAATTTGAAATATAAATTAGAATTTTAACTGTGGATTATAGAATTAATATTCTATAATATGCTGGCAGATAATTATTTGTACATTATGGGCAATATTGAAATTCTATACTATTTCATTTAAATAATAAAAAATGAATATAAAAATATAATTAAAAATAATATTTTAATCATTAAAAACCCTCAAATTTAATAGCAGTTGTTTTAAATGCTACAAGTGAATTTAAGCATCATAAGATTTTAATGTATGGTATGAAAATGGAGATTTGCCAAAGATTACATTTAACAATGTCATTATTATTATTATTATTATTTATTTTATTTTTTTTTGTAAGTTTAAAGTTTAACTTGAAGTGAGTGTCAGACAACGACAAAGAAAAAATAGGGATGAGCAATTAAATATCTAATAATGGCTGATGCATAAAAATCTGATTGTCAATAACTCATGTGGTACCGATACTGTATATTGTTGCTAGGCACAGTTGGTTAGATTGCTTTATAAAGCAAACTTGCTGACATAGAGGCACCACATAATAACGTTTTATTTTGAATAAAATGAGTTCTCCTGGAAAAAAATTATGTCTCAAAAATTTTTAATGTGGTCATGCTCATGGTCTGGATGGTTGCTGGTAGTTTCTCAGACTATGGGTTCTCCACCAGCTTAGCCAAGATGGTGGAGATCAGCTCTAATCAGATTGACACTAGGTCATCCCCAGTCATACCAGCTGTGAGTCCCATCTAAACTGCTGATTACCCATCTAAACTACCTTCAACCAGTTTCTACCAGCTGTAGCTGGTTTTAGCTAGAAACATTGTGTCAAGTACGCTGCAGCGTGAAGCACGTGCTCCTCTGGTGCATTATGTATAGTTCTGGAGGCTTGCTTTAGGTTTCGTAATGGTAACCAGATCAGGGTAGTGATGAGAACCCATGGCTGTTTGCCATTTCTTGTCAACAAGATGGTATTCGGTATCACCTGCAGTCTCTCCACATGGACCCGAGAGCATCCTCTCTCTTTACTACTGTGACTAGCAAAACAATAACGATGATCGTGGTAGCCACCACCACCATATGTGCTAGACGGTGGCATATGTTCACATATAAAATTATGTGTTTAATTAACATATTGATTTAATAGGGTTGTACAAATGTGTCGTGTCACAATACAAAAATGCAACAATTGTGACAATATGTATTTTGTACAGTTCACCCAAAAATGAAAGTTTAGAGAGATCTAGTTTAGGCTTTTATTCTCACATAAACAATCAACGCACATGCACAGAGCACGTCAAATATGGTAAACCCGGAAGCTCACACATCTTGAGATTTTCAATTTTAAAACATATGTATTCGGGGACAGAGTGCAAGCATTTGTATTTTTAGCTAAGCAGAATCATGAATATTAGTAGTACTGCATATCGAATCTTGACATAAGGTCTTTAACTATCACATTTTTAATATTTTATATGTAATGACAAAAGCATTCTTGTCATTCATTAGCTATGCAGTGATAGCTTATGGCTGTGCTGAGTGCCCCAAGCTAAGCTGTGGTCGGGAAGGCTGTGAAACTGAGTTTTGCTACCACTGCCGCCAGCTGTGGCACCCAGACCAGACTTGTGACCAAGCCAGACGTCAGCGTGCTCGCCACACGTCAGGAGCCAATGATGTCTCCACACTCTACGTGTTCAATGAAGAGCCTGGTGGTATGACACAAATATTGAGGGACTAACCTAATATCTGTTTGGTGTCCACCGGCTAAGATGTTTGTTCTGCTTTTAATCTTGAAGATGCAGAGGAGATCAAGCCCTGTCCACGTTGTGGTGCCTACATCATGAAGACTAATGATGGCAGCTGCAACAGAATGAACTGTACAGTGTGTGCTTGTCAGTTCTGTTGGCTGTGCATGCAGGAGATCACTGATGTGCACTACCTCAGGTACACACACACACACACACAATACACACAGTCATCAAGTTACAGTAAGAGTAGTCGCACGTAGCCAGATCTTTGACTAATGGCTAGGGTCTGGTCTGCATTGTAGCTTATTTTGTGTAAAAAGTGCCCACTTAGACAGGACGATACGGTCTTATTGACATGTAAAGTGACTAACCACAGTTCAGTTTGGTTTTTACACAGTTTAAGGGTGGGTTCATATGAAATGCTCTACAGTTCAAAAGTTTGGGGTCAGTAAGATTTTTTTTGAAAAATAAGTTAATCATTTTAAATAACAAGGATGCTTTAAATTTATCAAAAAGAGACTGTAAATACATTTATAATGTTATAAAAGTTTTCTATTTCAAATAAATGCTGTTCTTTCGAACTTTCTATTCATCAAAGAATCCTGAAAATAAAAGTATCATGGTTTCCATAAAACTATAAAGCAGCACAATTGGTTTCCAAATTGATAACAATCAAAAATGTTTCTTGAGCACCAAATCAGCATATTATAATGATTTCTGAAGGATCATGTGACACTAAAGTAACGGTTCAATAATGGTGCAGAAGACACTGAAAAATAGATGACAAATGTATAAAATTGTGTATTAATTTACATATTTATAACATTTCTGTCGCACAAAAATAAGTGCAGATTATTTCATAGACATAAATCTGAAAATAAGGGACAATGCAGTTTTGATAGTGAATATCTAGTTTACTTGCTGACTCAAACTGTTTCAGAGATTTGATCCCTCTAACATTGAAAATGCTCATTGTGTCAAGCCTGTACCTTCTAAATACTTTATGTCCAGGCAGACTGAACAAAAATGCTACCTTTGGAAGTCGTACTAACCAGAATGGTAGAATGAGTGATTTTCTGAAAGTGCCTGCAGTTTTGTATGCAAAATTTGGTCTGTGGGTGTGCGTAAATGAAACTCTTATTGTTGTTAAATCTGCCTGCATTTATTAAGTTACTGTAGGCAATTTTAAAATCAGTAATTAACATTTACAGAATATTTATCCAGTGTGCAGAGCATACACAGCCAAGTATAGGACATTTGCCTGTAAGCACACAGCCCACATTCATCACCAGCAGTCACCAGAGTCTGTGATCTGTTATTAAGCTTCTCTCGGACACATTCAGTCCAAGCTAAACAGGGGTAATTCTGCAGCACAAGAATGTCAGATATGTTTTTCTGGCCCTACAATATACTGAGGTTGTGCTGAGTTGCTTGTGTGGCCGACTTCATGAACATTGCAGATTATCAGATTTGCTTAATTACTCTTAATCAACACAAGTCTTGCAGAATCTGAGCCGTTTCAGAGGTCTGATCTTTAAAATAGTGTCTTTGCTACCAGCTTCAATGAGCTATCGCTGCACCAAAGCTGATTTCTGATAGATTTTTCCGTTCTTGGATGCCAGCCAGCACCAACTTTCATCAATTAATCAGTACAAATCTCTGTTCATATTTCCCTTTCCATGCAACCCAACCCCCACGATTTGCCAGAAGCAGGGTTCTTAATTTAATGAACACCCCATTCTACTGGGCTCCAGTTGGGCGGAGAAAGATTTTTATGAAATGACAGAATACATAAATAATTCTGTCATCCTTTACTTACCCTCATGTCGTTCCAAACCTGTGTGACTTTATTTCTTCTGTGGAAGACAAAAGAAGATTAGAAGAGGTTTTTTGTTTTTGTTTTTCAGTGGGGTCCAATGTTGTTTTGCACCTCAGTTTTCAAAATATATTCTTTATGTTACACAGGAGAAATAAAGTCACACAGGTTTGGAATGACATGACGGTGATTAAAAGTTGACAGAAATTTTTTTTTTGGGTGAATTATCCCTTTAAGACAGTGTTTCTCAACCCTGGTCCTGAGCGCCCCCCAACACTGCACATTTTGTATGTCTCCCTTATCTGACGCCCGTTTCAGGTCCTGGAGTTTCTTTTAATGAGCTAATGAGTTGAATCAGGTGTGTTTGATTAGGGAGACACACAAAATGTGCAGTGCTGGGGGGCGCCCAGGACCAGGGTTGAGAAAAACTGCTTTAAGACAAGACACACAGTGAAAAACTTACAGAGAAATAGCGCTTTAATAGGATTAACATATGGATGTAATCTAATTCTGTCATGTGACACCACATTTATTTGCCTTAAAGTCCTTTTTTCGACTAAAGGTGGTTTTGCATTTGAAGCATTGACATAGTGTATTTACTAAAGTTAAATAAAAAAATATTGTGTCGCCACTTGCAAAATGTTAGCAATAATTAGCATTTCTGTCAGCTAAATCTGTAACAGATTTATGCGCTAAACCTTTTTCGCAAAAAAAAAACAAAAACCTTGGATGGGAATTTGTCTATTGTTATAGGTTAATAATCAGCATTTATCAGTAAAGTGTTGTGTTCAAATATTTACTCCAGATTGTCTTTTAAGCTAGTAGCCTGTAATATTTTAGCACACAGAATAGAACAGGAAGTGACATTGACCGTAGAGAGTTGTAATTCACCCAGGCGGTGCATGAGGCTACTCGAGGATGGGATCATAAAATATTGATTCAATGAGACCGTGTGCGTGTGTCTGGCTTTTATTGGCTAATATTCTTGTCTTCTCTTTAACCTCATGTCATGCACATGCCACAGCTATGTGAGATTATGAAAAAAATACTTTCATTTATCTTCCTCACAGTCCCTCAGGCTGCACTTTCTGGGGAAAGAAGCCATGGTCGCAGACCCGCAAGGTTTTGTGGCAGGTCGGCATGCTGCTCGGGGCTCCGGTGGTGATCTCACTCATAGCAGGCATTGCGTTACCAGTCATCATTGTGGGCATCCCCATTTATATGGGCCGCAAGGTAAAGACCTAAAGTTTGCTGCATTATGCCATTTCTGTGGTGAAATGGATCTGGAGACCGTTTAATAGCTCTGGTATGATAATGAGACAAGGTCATGCCCTTGGCTGTATGCTCATCATAAGAAAAGTGCTGCCGAATGCATATATGTAAATTTATGTAAATCCACCAGACTTCACACAGCCGGTAAATGTGATATAGAAAACGTTTGCAAAGAAAGTAGAGAGAGTTTCACTGTGCTATTAGTTTATGGATGCCATTATGCTCTTTAGGGCCCTAAGAACATAGACCAGAATATTACCTCTTTAAAGTCATCATGAAATCAGAATTGACGATTCTTACTCTTTTATGGAATATTGCAGTGTTTATTATAAATTATTTATCCATGAACATCATTATTTAAAAATCACGTGTCCTTGTAATCTTCAAAAAAAAAAAAAATGTGAAAAGACATTTGTAATTTACGTTTGATGCTGACTTTAAGTTTGCTTGCCAGGTTCATGGTCGCTGTAAGAAAAACAATATCTCAGGAAGTAAGCATTATCTGACAGTGGCCAGCGGGGTCATGATGTCTGTTTTTGTGTCTCCAGTCATCGCAGCCATTACTGTGGGTAAGAAAATCATCCATCCACCTTGCTGGTAGCATATAACATGATGAACATGTAAAACACGGTGGTTATTTAACCTGTGCAGTACCTATTACTTCTATACACACTTCTGCGTATGTTTTACACAATGCACAAAGTTTTTTTTTTTTTAATATACACTATTGTTTTGTTGTTTTTGTTTTAAAAAAAAAAGCTGGTCCCAAGATGGCGCCGCGGATGGCCGCCTCGGTGTGGAGCTCCACAGTTGTTTTAATGTTTTTGTTAGTTTGTCCTGTTTTTAGTTATATTTGTACAATCAGTTTCACCATGGACGAATTGCTGAACATTCGGCAGTACACCCCACCCAATATTTCACCGGTTTTTGACTATTCTGGTGTTTTACTGGACATTGTAGTTGGCGGAGCGGCGGCACTGTTCAAGTGTTTTAAGACATGCAAGCGTGGGAAGCAAGCCGGCGCGCTCGTCAAGCTCGGACAGCGCGGCTTTAGAACGGCGCTGCCTAGTATCCATCTGGCTAATCTCCGCTCTCTACCCAACAAAATGGTTGAACTTCTTCTGCTCTCCCAGATAAAGACTTTTCAAACTCTGTTGCTCTGTGTTTCATGGAAACCTGGCTGAATGAAGCCATTCCGGATAGCGCGTTACATCTGCCGGGCTTCAAGCTGTACCGAGCGGATCGCGACAGAGAATTAACAGGGAAATCGTGTGGCAGCGGGACATGCTTCTACATCAACGAAAGTTGGTGTGCAGATGTAACAGCATTGAAGAAGATGTGCTGTCCCGATCTAGAAGCATTTTTCATCAACTGTAAGCCGTTCTACTCGCTGCGGGAGTTTTCCTCATTCATTCTCGTAAGTGTCTACATTCCTCCGCAAGCATGTGTGAACGCAGCGCTGCAACAGCTGGCTGATCAGATCACAGACACAGAACAACAACACCCGGACTCTGTTATAATCCTTCTCAGTGACTTTAATAAAGCAAATCTGTCCTGTGAACTGTCAAAATACAGACCGCACATTACATGTCCTACAAGAGACTGTAATATACTGGAACACTGTTACACCAAAAGGATGCATATCACTCTGTCCCACGGGCAGCTTTGGGGCTCTATGATCACTGTCTTGTTCATATTATACCAACCAACAGGCAGAAACTGAAATCAGCTAAACCTGTAATAAGGACTATAAAAAGATGGACTAATGAAGCAGAGCAGGATTTACAAGCCTGCTTCGACTGAACTGGTTGGAGTGTTTTTGAAGTTGCTGCTAACGATCTGGACGAGCTCACAGACACTGTAACATCATAAATCACTTTCTGTGAGGATATGTGCATTCCTACCAGGACTCATTTAACTTACAACAACGACAAACCGTGGTTCACTGCAAAAGTCAGACAGCTTCGTCAGGCCAAAGAAGATGCTTACAGGAATGGGGACAGAGTCTTGTATAAACAGGCCAAAAACACACTGACAAAGGAGATCAGAGTGGCTTAGAGAAGCTACTCGGAAAAGCAGCTTTCTGCCAATGACCCTGCTTCAGTGTGGAAAGGACTGAAAGACATCACCAATTACAAGACACTATCCCCCAGCACTGTGTTGAATCAACAACTGCTCGACGATTTGAATGAGTTCTATTGCAGGTTTGAAAAACTCTCTCTGACACCCCACACCCATTCTGACACTCTCTCCATGGATCCATTAACACCTCCAGCAAACCCCACTTCGGATCAGTGAAGATGTGTGTCAGGTCTTCTGGAAACAGAAGACAAGAAAAGCTCCAGACCCAGACGGTACCTCCATCTATCAGTAGATCACCAGCTTCCTGGCAGACAGGCAGCAGCTAGTGAGGCTGGGAAAAGAACTGGCTGTCTGGTGCAGTCTTAACCTGGAGCTGAACATGCTCAAAAGAGTGGAGATGATAGTGGACTTCAGGAGGACCCCCCCTGACCTCAGAAGACTACAGCGGATAGTCCGGACTGCTGAGCGAATCACTGGCACAACCCTCCCCACTCTCCAAGAACTGCACTCATCCAGAGTGAGTAAAAGAGCTGGCAAAATCATTCTGGACCCCTCACATTCAGGCCACTTCCTCTTTGAACTGTTGCCGTCTGATCGGCGCTACAGAGCACTGAGCACCAGAACGGCCAGGCATAAGAACAGTTTCTTCCCTCAGGCAATCCATATCATGAATAGTTAACTTGGCAATAAACACGTAAAAACAACACTATTTATATATTTATTTATTTAACACACCATACTTCATATTTACATTTCCTTGCATTTTAACATACCTGTACACACAAATACCATCTATTGTCTATTTTGTATATTGTGTTTTTTTTAAATGTGTTGTTTATTGCTATTTCCTATTTACTTATTCTTTTTTATTATCTGTGTCTTGTCACTGTCATTCTGTTTGGTCTGTGGAAGCTTCTGTCACCATAACAAATTCCTCGTATGTGTAAACATACCTGGCAATAAAGCTCTTTCTGATTCTGAATCTAAAGGTCTTTGTCTATTTTTATATTATTGAATATGAATGTGAGGAATGGGGATATTTTGAAGTCGAGGAGTACTTCAGAGGTCATATTGTTGAGTTATGTCAATTTAAAGAAGCTGAATTAAGCATATTGATTGCTCTGGCACGAGTTCAGACAAATGAAGCTACTTAAGACACAAATCTGCCTCTCAGCTGAGACATTGAATAAGAAAAGCAGAACTTGCTTAAAGGGATAGTTCACCAAAAAAAAAAATTACTCACCATCATGTCATTCTAATCCTGTATAGTTTTTTTTTCTGTGGAGCCTACAAGGTCATCTGAAGTCAAAACAGGCTGAAATTGGAACCATTATTCATTGAAAATTTAAGAAAAATTCTCTTGAGACAGATCTTTTCATCATGATTCAGGTGAATAAAAACTTGTGTTTAAGTCATCATATGACTTCGGAAGACCACTTTTATGATATTCTTATTTTATGGTGCATTTGCATCTGTTATGAAGCTTAAACGTTCTTGGAAGTCTCCATTAATTGTAATTGTATGGAATAGAGCAACTGGCCCATTATTAAAGAGTTCTGGTGTTCCACAAAAGCAAGCAATGATTTTATACAGCTTTAGAATGACTTGAGGGTAAACAACCAATATTTTGAGGGTTGAACTAATCCTTTAACATCCATATTGCACACACTGTAGCTTACATATTTGCATGCAGCTGTTTCATTCATACTTGCACATACACACGGCGACTGCCGCGGTCGTCTCTGATGACTCATCTATCTTCTGCTCTGGCACTCCTTTGAGAGCTGGAGCGGAGAGGGCAAGATTACAGCAGCCGGCTGCAACTAAAATGCCAGAGCGATCTCCATGGCATAGCGTGAAGTCCTGAGCGCAGCACATTCACTACTCTGTGCTCTTCTCGCAAACCCAAAGCCTGCGTTCCCTCTCATTCTCCTCGCTGAATAGTCCTGTCTGTTCTGCAGCTCTGACCTCTCCTCAGGAGAGCCACAGTGAGGCCTTGTCCCCTTCAATGTCCTCATCAACAATGCCACTCTGTTCTTATCCAGAACCAGGAGGATCATGGCCTTTTGTCTCCTTTATTGTGTGTTGTCCTGGTCTTTGCTGCTAGCATTATGCCTCTTTTACATGTAGGGACCTAACTTGTACAATATTTTCTGTGATTAATACAAATCTTTCAGAATAAATTCTAATTTAGTAAATCTGTGTTTGAAGGGGTGGGGGTGCCTCTTATGTTGACGTATGTCTACGGGGTCGTGCCCATGTCGTTGTGCCGTAATGGCTGGTGCAGGCCACAAACTGAACCTCCTGAAGTACGAAACATACAGTTGGAAGATCTGGCAAATTGTAAGTCCAACTTCTTGAAATTTGGCTATATGAATATACATTTACAGTTAACTTAAATGTTGTACTGCTAATTTATTTATTCATTTTTTTTTTCAGTAGCCTGATGTTGTTCAGCTACATTAAAAATAGCACTTTGCTTTTAACTCCAGTATAAAAATTCGAGGGCTTTTATCTAGCAATTTTATACTGAGATTTCTGTTTTTGTGCCAGAAAAAATATGGCTAATACAGCAATATAGAGATAATATAATACAGATATTAGAAGTTAGCTACTTTTTGCTAAGAGCTTTTAGTTTAGCTAACTACTTTTAAGAGTATCTTTGTTGTATAGTTTAACAACCTTAATGCTGCTTACTAGGAGTTTTTAGTGTAGCTAAAAATGTTAAGAGTATCTTTGCTGTAGTTTAACCACATTGAACAGCTTCTTTGTAGTTGCTAGAAAATGATCCTACTTTATTATAAATTGCTTATAAATCCTTATGTATGAGTTTGAATTATGGAAACATTGTAACTGTTGTGCAGAAAGATTAATTTTGTAACATTAAGCTCACAGTTTGGCCTGATCTGATGACATTTAAACTTCTCTTGAAGATCTTCTATTTTCTCATGTAGTCAGTGATCACTGGACCGGCCAGACCAACCCAGCTCTATCCAACGGAAGCATACAGGAAGTGAGTGTGAATGTGGAGGAAGTGATGTCGCTTCCCAGCACCAGTGTGGTCCAGTCTGGAGCAAAGGGCTCAGTTGAATCTTCTAATGATGGACATGTTGACAGCACTGAGCAGGTTGTTCAGTCAGACGATGTGGATGTAATTGAAGAGTGTGCCTTCAGCAGCACACAAACATTTGCTCTGAGGTCAGCAAATTTTATGACATAACTTGATTTCACTGGCAAATTTTTTCCCCCCAAAATATCAATAAGCAGTGAAGCAGTTCTGTTAAAATTTATACTGTACTATTCAAAAGTTTGGGGTAAGATTTTTAATGATTTTGAAACAAGCCTCTTATGCTCGCCAAGGCAGGATTAATTTCATTAAAAATATAGTAAAACAGTAAAATTCTGAAATATTAATTGAATGTAAAATATCTGTTTTATATTTTAATATATTCCAAAATGCAATTTATTCCTGTGATGGTAAAGCTGAATTTTCAGCAGTCATTACTCCAGTCTTCAGTGTCACGTGATCTTCAGAAATCATTCTAATATGCTGATTTAGTGCTCAAGAACTGTTTCTTATTATCAATGTTGAAAACAGTTGTGCTGCTTCATATTTAGTTTTATTATTTACTTTTCAGGATTCTTTGATGAATAGAAGGTTTTGTAACATTATAAATGTCTTTACTGCCATTTTTGAACAATTTGATGCATAAAAGTATTCATAAAAAAAAATAAAAAATTACTGACCCCAAACTTTTGAACGAATTTTTTTTCTAAGAAATGTGACCCTGGAGCACAAAACCAGTCTTAAGTCGCTGGGGTATATTTGTAGCAATAGCCGAAAATACATTGTATGGGTCAAAATTATTCATTTTTCTTTTATGCCAAAAATCATTAGGATATTAAGTAAAGATCATGTGCCATGAAGATATTTTGTAAATGTCCTACTGTAAATATATTAAAACTTAATTTTTTATTAATAATATGCATTGCTAAAAACTTCATTTGGACAACTTTAAAGGCAATTTTCTCAATATTTAGATTTTGCACCCTCAGATTCCAGATTTTCAAATAGTTGTATCTCGGCCAAATATTGTCCTATCCTAACAAACCATACATCAATGGAAATCTTTTTTATTCAGATTTCAGATGCTGTATAAATCTCAATTTCGAAAAATTTACCCTTATGACTGGTTTTGTGGTCCAGGGTCACAAATAATAAGAAGAAATGATGCCAAACTACTTAAGGTTTTCTTTTCATTATGATATCAAAATGGCCCTGACATTTATATCTCCTCAGAAATATATCAAAATTATTTTTAATATAGCTAATCATAGAATATGTGTATTCAAGTAAGAATTGCATTTTTAATGTTAATGTTTTCATGTTTGAATTATTAGAACATCAGTGATTTATTTTTCCCATAAGTCTGTTTTTGTAAAGTTTTTGTTGTTGTTGTTTTTTACAGCAGGGAAGGGACTAATATTGAGGTCCGTGTGGAGATCGAGGCCCAGCCACGGGACGGCCGGAAGCCGAGTCTCAGCAGTATTCTGTCTAGCAAGAGCCTGTCGGTGGAATTGCTCAACCAGCCCTGTGAACCTCTGTGTGCCTCTCAACAGACAGGGAGCACCGACCCCATACCATTTCCTGAGATAGACAGCGCCTGAGCAAATCCTGGGAAACCACTGCTTCCACGGCCCACCTACACTCCCACCGGGTGCTTCCAGCCTCTTGCTTGCAAATGCAGAGAGTCAGCGACATGGAAACCAACACACAGAGAGCGTGAAAGAAAAAAGGAGAGGGGGAGATGAAGATGAGAGTCCAGGGCAGCTGCCAAAATGTCACGGAGGGGATTAAAGACGATCATATGAACTCAAATGACCAAGCGCATGTTTGTCAACAAGTTTGAGGAGTGCTAACCGATTTTATACTGTGTTCTATAGAAGACATTGCCTATTTGGATGCTGGTCTGTTTAATTTATTAAATTAGCTTTTGTTTTAGCTATACCCTTTTATCTAATGACCATATGGTTCGTATCCCCTGACTTATTTGTAGGGGAAAAAAGGAAAAAGAATTAAACTACGGATTAATATGGTTCATTCTGCCACAGTTGCTAGCCTGACATGCCATGTGACTAGAAACATGGTGAGATGTAACTCTTGTGCTGCAGGCTAATGCTAACTTGGGTAATGGGCTTCCCCCCATGGTTAATTTCAAATTAATTTGAATTATGCAATTTTTTACATAACTGTTGCATTTTCATGAAGGAGCAGCAAAATCTGGATTTAGGTCTAGAATTAGCCTTCAGCATCATGCTGTTTTTAATATGGTCTGATTATGATAATATTAGGTCAAAACTGATAATTTTAGGGAACGTGAACACCATGAGGACTCTGATTTTGAGTGATTCTCAGAAAACTGATGATCTTGTTTCCCTCTGTTCACTTTTAGATCTTTATTTCTGCAAAGGCATTTGTTTTTGCTGCTGTTAGTGAGTACTTAATGAATCAAGAGTTTTAAAAGTCCATTAACTAAAGAGAGCACCTTATCTCAAACATCTACATTGACAGTTTCAGCTTACTAAGTAATTCCTTGTATTGGGAGCCCAGAGCCAACAGTTGGATAATGTCTAGATTACTGGTATTTTTGACACCTGGCTTCGATGGAGGATCTCAGAATGCTAGATCAGGCCTCAAATACAAACTTTTACCCTATGTCCTATTCAAAAATGAGCAGCGGACAGCCCTGTTTAAAGTGTAAAAGACCTCCAGGAGTTTCCAAAACTGAACCTTCATAACTGCACTGCAGATTGGGAACAATGAATGGAACAGTATGTCAATAAAAAGATGTGTATTGAATGGTGACTGGAAGAATTGTTATGTTTTCTTCACGGTTGTCCAATATTTTTCATTTTCATTTATCGGTTGGATGTTATTTTATGTTTTACGTAGTTTCTGTTTAAACCTGTTTGTCAGCATTTCTATAAGGCACAGACAGAGGGCGCTAGGGCTCTAAAAACGCACTCGATCAATGATACCTGCTGCATCTGGAGTCCAATAGGAAATCCAAGCAGTACAGAGTTATATATGTTCAACTCTTTTTTTTTTTTATATATATAGTTATTTGAAATAATTCAGAATTTTAAGAAATAATATTTGAATATTTCTACTGTCTATTGGAAATTGGTTCAGAACAGTAGCAACATCATAGATAGATAGATAGATAGATAGACAGAGATAAATACAATTATTAATTATATCCTCAATGTAAAATATTTTATAAACAAAAATAAGCTGTTTCAAGAGAAATAAGCCTATTACTGTTGTAAACCCATTGTAGATTCAGGTTGTTTTTTATCATGAAATCATTTTATTTATTTATTTATTTATTCATTCATTCATTTTTTTAAATAAAATTATGTGGCCAAGCTTGTACACTCGCAGTAGTTACAATGAACATCAAATAATAAACACTCTATTATTATTATTATTATTATTGTAAATCTATATTATTATAATATAATTCAAATCACCACCAGTCATTCATTACTATCTATTTATTCCGTGTGTTAATTTTTGTATATTTCAGTAACAGTATTTTCAATTAGTTATTTTTTTGTATATTTTATATCAGTGCTCAAGGTCATGACACTACAAGTTTATTAGAAAATGAATTTAATACTGATATTTCTACTTCTAAATGATATGATAGGCTATATGATATGATATGATATGATATAAATATATAATACTATTATAGGCTACATAATGCATAAAGCGATAATAACATAGGCCTATATTAAAAAAGTTTCATTGTTACAGTCTTGACGGTTGAATAATTATGATTTGCTCCAAGTTTCGCATGGGATTTCATCATGAAGCGTCAGGGGGTGTGTGAAGGGTGCAGCTCGTGGATCTCCGTCAGTCGGGCAGTGATGGGTTAATGTTACAGTACAGATACAGGACTGTGAGACGGTGTCTATAGGCTGCTCGTGTCCACTCGCTCCATTCATTACTCGCTGCATGCTACTCTACTTTCCCCATTCCCACAGTGGGCACCAAAGAAGAGCTCTGCACCTGCTCTACACCTTCCAGCATGGATGCGCTAAAATCCGCCGGGAGAGCAATAATCAAAAGTCCCGGAGTTCCGCGGCACACATGGGGAACGTCCAAGCATGAAAGTGAGTAACCTGCGTTTATCTCTGTTTACATATACTGAATACAACTGCATCAGTGCTGATGATCACGCGATGCTCTGATAACACCTTCCTGAAGATACCTGAACATAAGGCCCCAATTTGTGGAATTAAGACTTTTTAAGAATCGCAGAAACCATCATTTCATGACACAACTTTGAAATGCAGTATTTACAAACATGTATTTAAATGAACATTTATATATCCAAATTCATAAATATATATTCAAATTTCAACTATATATTCAGATTTATATCTACATATTCAGTGGTTATAATGTATAGAATTGTATAGAATTCTTTTATATGTCTTTTTTCTGTTATATATATATATATATATATATATATATATATAATTTTTGATTAATGCCTTGATTTTTGCTTAAATATTCATATAGCTACCTTTTATTTATCTCTGCATAGTGTGAGATACTCATCTGTGAATTGCAATTCACAGATTCACAGAATTGCAATTGTGAATTGTGTAATTGCACATCTACAGTTAATTCTGTAAATTCTGTAATTCTAAAAATATTATGCAGTGCATTGGATTCTTGCCCAATGTTGACCCTACAGATAAAAGTCTGGTCACTGTAAAAAGATCCTCACTTTTTTTCCCATGTGTGTAAGAAAATCCAATTAGATCGCATAGATGTTACCACTGAACTGTTCAAGGTTGACTGGCTTTATGAAATGTGTTGAAACTTGGTCAGGCTCGGAGAGACACCTGGCCACGCTGTGCAAATAATCAACTTTCACACTCTCACTGACTCCAAATCACACTTCATCCATTTATGTTTTAATGATTGAATCAGTTGGCCGGTGCTGCCAGCTTTTGATCTGTCAGGAGGAAGAATCGAGTGCTCTTGTATGGAAAAGAGGGCAGTGGTTTTATGAGAGAGCCCGTGTCACATCAGCGGTGACAGGCAGGAGCCTGAGGCTCGACAAACTGTCATTCTGATGTGTGAGATGTGAAGTTCATGAGGCACTCTGGGGACAAAACATCCTCATTCCCACTTGAACTGTGTGCCAGGCATACAGCTGGAGGAAGTCTGCTTGTTTCTTGTTGCTGAGAGTATGTATATTTACTAAAAAACAAGAAAATTAGCATAATAAATTATTTAAATCAACAGTTGTGTCTTGGGAATTTAGATGTGCTCCCTTTGGATTAAATATTAATGATTTGATGGCTGTCTTTCTAGCAATGGTTTGTATTTCAGAGACAGAGTGAGAAGGAAGGCATGATTTCTCACAAAGGACTATTATATAGAAACCTAAATCTTGAAGATGATGCCAGTTACATTTTTTTAAAGAATAGTTAAAAAGTAAAAATTTGATTGTCATTTACTCACCCTCATGTCATTCCAGACCTGAATGCATTTGTTTTAATCTGTTGAACACAAAGAAAGAAGATATTTTGAAGAATGTCTCTCTTATTTTTGTACATGAATAAAAGTCATTGGGATTCAAACCAAAGAAATGAATGCTTTTATTTAGCAAGGACACATTAAATTGATCAAAAGTGATAGTAAAGACTTTTACAATGTTACAAAAGATTTCTATTTCAAATAAATGCTGTTCTTTTGAATTCATCAAATATTCCAAAAAATATGTATAGTGGTTTCCACAAAACTGTTTTCAACAGCTCAAATGATTCAGCATTGATAATAGTAAGAAATGTTTCTTGAGCAGTAAATATGAACTTTTCCACGACATTCTAATTTACTGAGATGCACCTGTATTAGAATAATTTCTGAAGGATCATTTGATACTGAAGCCTAAATTCAGCTTTGCATCACAGGAATAAATTACATTTGGAAAATATATTAAAATAGAAAACAGTTGTTTTAAGTTGTAATAATGTTTCCCAATATTTCATTTTTTATTGTTTTTTGATCAAATAAATGCAGCCTTGTGAGAATAAGAAAATTCTTTCAGAAGCATTAAACAAATCTTACCAACCCCAAACTATAAAGTGTAGTGTATGTACAAAAAAAGAGACATTTTTCAAATTATTAGCCTATGTGTTTGAAACACTCAGAGCATGCAGTTTTGAAAATGATTAAACTTTTGTGCTTTCATAAAAAAATTTAAAAAAAGCGAAATTAAATATTTTTAACTCAAAGGGGAGCAGATTCAAGTACAGCATACAAACAAGTGAATAATGAATAGTTTTTGTGCTGGTCTGATGAATATTCATGGGAGGCTGGTGTTGTCTCTCAAGTGTGCATTTGACTTGATGAAGGTCAGAGTTTTCACTGGCATTCATTAAAAGTTCAATTTCATGTTTTATTTTACCAAAAGAGAATGTTCAACCTAAAATATCACGTTTGGCCTCCAATAGATGCTGTCTTTTTTTCAAAGAGTTGGTGTGTGTAATATCATGCACACAGAGAGAAGTCACTATCGATTCTCGTTGTGTCATTAAAATAACATTGACAGTTCCAAAGGTCACATTAGTTGCTGCAAGTGTTAGACGCCCTTCCCGTTTTTTACACTGCAAGCTTTTGCAATTTCTAGTGTAATAACCCCTCGGTGGGAAATAACAGGCTTGAGTAGTAACGTCCCTGCTGATAATGTAGACATAAAGAAAGCTATTTTAAAAAATAAACACAAATTATGTTAATACTTTACTGTTTGATCATAAATCTGTATGTCAGAACTTCTGAGCTGGTACAGTTGTGTCAATCCATGTTTAAAGGGGTCATATGATGTTGCTAAAAAGAACATTATTTTGTGTATTTGGTATAGTGAAATGTGTTTATGCGGTTTAAGGTAAAAAAAACAACATTATTTTCCACATACTGTACATTATTGTTTCTCCTCTATGCCCCGCCTTTCTGAAACGCG